TGCCCACTGCAACTGTCACTTTGTCAATCCACCTGGGTGAGGGTCTTCCTCTCCTTCACCGACCCTCCACCCTTCCCAACATCAGGTCCCTCCCTAAAAAATAGCATCTCCTATCAGAATGTCCAAAGTATGTGAGGCAAAGCCTCATCATTCTCAACTCCAAAGAGCATTCTCGATGCACTCTCTCCAAGACATATCTATTAGTTTCTTGGTCGTTCATGGTATGTTCAGTGCTCTTCTCAAACATCAGAGCTCAAAGCCATCAGTTCTTTTTCTGTCATCCTCACGCACTGTCCAGGTCTCAGATGCATAGCTGGTAACTGGAAAAACTATGGCCTGAATCAGATTCACCTTAGTCCTCAAACTGATATCACTACTTCTCAATAATTTGGAAAGGTCCCTAACTGCATATTTTCCCAGTGCAATACATCTCTTTATTTCCTGACTGCTCATACCAAGGGTGCTAATTTTGGATTCAAGCAAGATTAATCTGTTGGTAGTTTCACTCTCCTCTCCATCCATCATGACACTGCCTATTGGCCCAGTGGTAAGAATCTTTGTTTTCTTGATATTGAGACACAAACCATTCTGAAGGTGGCATTCTTTGATCTTCTACAACAATTGCTTTAAATCCTCCTCACTTTCAGCAAGTAAAGTTATGTCATCTGCATAACGCAGGTTATTGATGACTCTCCTCCAATCCTGATGCCACATTCCTCTTCATGGAGTCCAGCTTCTTGGATAATTTGCTCAGCATATAGATTGAACAGGTTTGGAGTCAGAATACATCCCTAACACACTTTCTTCCCAATTCAAAACCATGCAGTACTGCCCTGCTCCATTCGCACAATAGCATCCTGTTCCAGGTATAGGCTATTCATGAGCACAATGCAGTGCTCTGGGATTCCCATTCTTCTCAAGGTCAGCCACAACTTGTCATGATCCACACAGCCAAATGCCTTTGCATAGTCAATAAAGCAAAAATAGACATTCTTCTGGTATTCCTTACTTTCAGCCAGGATCCATCTGATATCAGCAATGGCATCTCTGGTGCCGTGGTTCTTCTAAATCCAGCGTGAACTGGCAATTCCCTATCTATGTACGGATCAGCTGTTTTTGAATGACTCTCAGGAGTATTTTGCTAGCATGTGGCATCAATAATGTTGTTTGATAATTTCCACATTCAGTTGGATCTCTCCTTTTGGGAATAGGAACAAATATGATAGAAGAAAAAAAATCATTACAAAAACAGAGTAGAAAGATAAAACCAAAATGGATGTCAGAAGAGACTCTAAAGATTGCACTGGAACATTTAGAAGCCAAATCTAAAGGAAAACCTATCGAAGTGAAAGAGCTGAACAGACGATTTCAAAGGGCAGCTTGTGAGGACAAAGCAAAATATTATAATGGAATGTGAATAGAGCTTGAATTGGAGAATAAAAAAGGAAGAACTCACTCTGAATTTCTCAGACTGAGAGATGAGAATTAAAACAAATTTAGGCTTCATGTTTCAATGTTGATAGATGCTATGGGCAATGTATTCAATGACCTAGAAAGCATCAAAAGAAGATGGAGGGAATATATAGAGTCACTGTACCAGAAAGGTTTGATTGACACTGAAAAATTTCAGGAAGTACCATATGAACATGAGTTAGTGGTAATGAAAAAGAAAGTGAAAGCTACATTGAAGGCATTGGCAAAAAAAAAAAAAAAAAAGAAATAAGGTCCCAGGAAACGATGAGATACCAATTGACTTGTTTCAATTAATAGATGCAACCTTGGATGCACTCACCAGCCAGTTGTTATTGTTATGTACCATCAAGTCACCTGCAACTCATAGCAACCCTATGTTTAACAGCCCTAACCCCTGCTCTCTCCCTCACCAATCTTATTGTCTCTGACACACCTATCCCCATTACCCCAGTCACTGAATCAATCCATCTTATAGAGGGTCTTCCTCTCCTCCATTGTCCCTCCACCCTCCCAAGAATGACATCCCTCTCCAAGGACTGGTCCCACCTTGCAACATGCCCAAATTATGTCAGAAGAAGCTTCAGAATCATTGCCTCCAAGGAGTAGCCTGGTTTCACTCTCTCAAAGACAAACTTGTTTTTTCTCCTAGCAGTCTTTGTTATAGTCAATACTGTTCTCCAGCACCATAGCTCAAAGGTATCAACTCTCCTTCTATTATATCTAGTCATTGTCCAACTCTATGATGCATACTAAGTAATTACAAAGACATGGCCTGTAGCAGGCGCAACTTAGTCTCCAGACTGCCATAATTGCTCTTCAGTACTTTAGAGAAGTCTCTGACAGCAGACTTTCCCAATGCAATTCATCTTTCATGGCTGTTAGTACCAAGAGTGTTGATTGTAGAACCAAGTAAACTGAATCTGTCAACAATCTCAATCTCTTCATCATCTATCATGATACTGCCAATCAGCCCAGTAGTGAGAATCTTTGTTTCCTTGATGTTGAGCTTCAATCCATTTTGAAGGTTGCAGTCCTTGACCCTCTGCAGCAAGCTTTTCAGGTCCTCCTCAGTTTCAGCAAGCAGGTTTGTGTCATCTGCATAACGCAGATTGTTGGTAAGTCTACCTCTATTCCTGATACTGCACTTCTCATAGAGCCCAGCCTCCCAGATAATCTGTTCTGCCTATAGATTAAAAATATATGGAGATAGGACACATCCTTGACACACACCTGGCCTATGCCAGGAAATTTGGAGGATGGCTCTTTGGCCAATGGATTGGAAGAGGTCTATAATTGTTTCTATTCCCAAGAAGTGTAATCCAATATTTACAATAGTCAGCGACAAATTAATATACTTTGGAATAAATCTAATTAGAGACTAACAGACCTTTATAAAGAAAACTATGAAGCACCACTGTAAGGAATATTAAGGAAACTAACTAAATGGAAAAATGGTTCCTTATTCATGCATAGGAAGACTCAATATAGTGAAAATGCCAATACTATCAAAAACAATCTACCTTTTTAACACAATCCCATATAGACACCTAATTATTTTTTCAAAGAAATGGAAAAGACATTAGGCAAGTTTATTTGGAAAGTCTTTGGAGAAGGATATCATATTTGGAAAAGTGGAGGGCCAGTGCAGGAGAGAAAGATCCCGAATGAGATTGACCCAGTAACAGGGGTAATGAGAGTACGTGTGCCAGAAACATTGAGATTGGCTCAGGATAGAGCAGAACTATTGTTCAGAGTTATTGTACTATAGGGTTGCTATAAATGGTAGTCAACTTGAGGGCATATAACAATAATTACAATAAACTATGGTCAACTTGTGTTCAACAAGAAAACAAAGCCTAGCAAATGGGTAAAAAGATAACCTCTTCAACACTTGGTGTTGGCAAAACTAGATTTCTACCGACAGAAAGGTGAAAGGATCTATATATAACACCATACACAAAAATCAACTCAAAGTGGATCAGCGATCTAGAGGTAGAGCCCCAAACCACAACTATGAGACAAAATGGGACGAAACTTAGAAGACTAGTCAATGGCCCAAGTTTTGTTGTTTGTTGTGTGTCATTGAGTCAAAACCAACCCATAGCTGACCCTCCAGTGTGTTTTCAGAGGCAGTAAATGGCATTTGTGTCTCACCAAGCAGCTGGTGGGTTTAAACCAGTGGCCTTCAGGATAGCAGCACAGATTCTTACCACTAGACCACCAGAGCACCTTATGATACTAATAGGCTAATAAATATGGCCAGAAATACACAACCAGAAGATAACATTGATGAATAGGACTTTCTTAAGATTAAATCCCTGTGTGCTCCAGAACCTTTTTCCAATAGAGTAAAAAGAAAACCAACTGACTGGAGGGGGAAAAAAAAAAAAAAGCATTTAGCAATGACATGTCAGAACACTGTAGGGCCGCCAAAAGAGAAAGGCTGATAACCCAATCACAAAATGCACAAAAGATATGGAAAGACTTTTCACAGAGGAGGACATTTTGTTGGCTAACAGATATATGAAGAAATGCTCATAATCACGGGCAATAAGGAAGATGAAAACAAAAGTCACAATAAGGTATCATTTCAGCCCATTAGCAATGGCAAAGTTTAACAGGGCAGTAAACAATAAATGTTGGAAAGGATGTGGAGAGATTGGAACTTTCATACACTATCAGTGGGATTGTGAAATGGTGCAATTACTCTGGAAGGCAGTTTAGCTTTCATCTAAAAGCTGAACACAGAAATTCCATTTACTCCAAGGAAATTAGAATTGAGACACAAATGGAGATTATTCACAGCAACATGGAAACAGCCCAAATGTCATCAACAAACGACTGGATTGTGAAACTATGGTACATTCACTTGCTGGACATGCTGGAATACTATGCAGTATTCAGGAGCAATGATTGAGAAAAATACTATATGCTATGGGAGAGGCTACAGAGCATTACGCTAAGTGAATGAAGTCACGCGCACAAGGACAAATACTGCAGAAGACCATTATTGTAAAACAGGCGGATAACTAGTAAGATGTGTATGGATGTCCAAAGAGGGAAGGGAAGGCAGTAAAGGTTGTGGGCTGGGATGAGGGAAATCATAGCGACGCAGAGTTGGTGGACAGAGGGAGAAGGTGAAGGCATGATCCAGTAGGAAGGTGAAAAGAGGGGTAATAAGGGGCATAAATCAATGGTCATTAATTTTATAAGACACAAAGTATGGGAATTATAGTAAGAAATAAAATGTGAATTCTAAAAGTCTACCAAAAATAAAATGATAAAAAAATTAGAGACAAGTATGCCCTTAAGGAAGGAACACGGGGGAGACGGCTAGCACCCCTCTCCAAGAGATGGTCACGGCCCGGGGTGGGATGAGGGCGGTGCTTTTGGGTCTGTCCCCGCCCCTCTCCCGCCTTCCGGGCGGTGCCGCGGGAGCGAGTGAGCTCGCGCCCCAGAGACCCACCCCCTGCGCCGGGCGCCCCAGCTCCGCCCCTCGCCGAGCCGCCCCCTGCGCGGCTGCCGGGAGAGCTCGCCCTACTCTGCGGACGCCGCCACCTTTGACGCGGCGCTCTCCCCCTTTTGCCGGCGTGCGGGGGCCGCGCCTGGCGGTGGAGCTGCCCTGGGTGGGCGGCTGGGACCTGGGCTCTCTGGCTGAGCGCTCTCTCGGCGCAGCCAAGGCTCCCGCGTGCGCGGCGCCGCGACAGGTGCAGAGTCCCAGCTGAGGACCCACCTGCGGCCACCGCTGCTGCAATGCCCACCATGCGGAGGACCGTGTCGGAGATCCGCTCCCGAGCGGAGGGTGAGTGCTAGTAGTCGCCGCAGCTGGGCTAGGCGAGAGGGCGGCTCGGGGCCAGCCTGGGGTCTGGTAGTGCGCGCATATGTATGTGTGAGTGTGTGCGCGCGCGCGGGCGCGCCGGGGAGAAGACACTCCATTCCAACTCCTCCCTTTAACAGTCTGGTTGTCCCTTTAGGTTGCAGGCGGACCCTTTCTTTGCAGTGCTTCCAGTGCAGTTTTAAACCCCTTTCCTGGCTGTAAATTCTCAGAATTGGTGTCCTAGATGGGAAGCCTCGCTTTTCCAAGAGACTTGATCATTGGGTCCTTGTCATCATCCCCTCTCGCTCTGCCCAGCGCCCTCCCCTGTAATGCACCGCTCTCCCCTCTGCGCTCTGCTTCGCCTTCCTTTTGAGTGGATCACCCACACCCCTTCGCCCCCGACTCCTGCGCCCACCCTTTTGCAGCCTCATCTCACAGCTTTCTGAGAAAGGTTTGTCTTTCTTAGGCTGCAGGATGCGAAGGAAAGCGAAGAGACTTAATTGGTCTTGGCTGCTCTGTGGGCTTCGTGTTGGCGTTTACTGTCTGCCATTCTACCTCCAGCCCCGGGATCGCTTTTGGTCACGTCTGGAGTTTCGTTTTTGTTTTTCCTTTTGCCTGAAACCCACACTTTGGCCAGCTAGCTGAGCGCACTTTCTAGCGAGGTGGAAGCTGCCTTCTCTGTACCACCTAGGGCCAGCTGTTGAACGGCCACACTTGTCAGCACCTAGCAACAGGAGATGTTTCAGGGCACAAGCTTGCCAGCTTTTGGAGGACAGAGCCTCTTCATCTGCTGGCAGACACTCCATAAATGTGCCTTGAATTTTCTTAGGAGAGAGCCAGCATTGTACATATCTGCGAAATTTTGTTTTGTTTTCCTCTCCTGTAAATCCGTCCTACAAAAGGGTGGGGTGATACATTTCTGAGAGCTAGCCTGTCTACCTATCATCACAGATCCTCATCCCTGTCTCACCCTTTAATAACAAGCACGTAGTAAAAGTGGTTTGAGGAAAAGACATGCAAATTAGAATAGAATTCCAGGTATTTTAGATAGGCCTTGTTACTGTATTTCCTCTGTAGATTTGCCAATTTAAAAACTGGGGACTTTTGTTTTTCTTAGTTAGGGCTTTCTTTTTTTTTTCTTCCCTCCCCCCATTATAGCTTTTTGGGAATACTAAATGAAACTGTTCTGGACAGTAACTGATGTGTGTTCTACATAAGGATTTAGCATATGGTTACTTATAATATACTGGGGAAAATAAATATAATATATATACACATATATACAGAAACAAAGACATGATAGAGTTTTAAGTGCTTAGAAGAGAATAGTGCTGTACAAATTTATTCATTCATAGATTGACACTACTAAATGAAAGCATTTTATCTCATGAACTACTGTTGTAATCAAGCAGTTCATAAAAATATATATATTGTGGTTATAGTTGAGGTTCTTTCTTTAGATAAGAGTAATTGAAGGATCATATTTGTAGGAGGAAAGGAAGAGAGAAAACACCAGAAAGCAAAAAAAACAAAACCCAAAAAACAACCCAACTTGTGGCATGTGAGAAGATTTTATTAGCATAAAATTGTTGCAGTATTGAATTTGATTGACATGTGTTAATTTTCATAGCACTTGCACAAAGATTACCTTATGTAACCCTATGGATCTCCTGGAGGTGGATGAAGGTGGAGTCTCATTTAATAGCTGAGGAAACTGGGACCCAGAATGGCTTCATAACTTGCTTAATGTCAGGTAGTTGATGTGACACATGTAAGAGCTCCTGGGAATCAAGGACTGTTTCTCATTTACTCTTTGTATTCCCAGCATAGTGATGCTTGGTGACTGACCTGTTCCTCTCATATGGGTTGGTTTCAGTTTATTATGTACTTAACAGTTTGCTGGGAAGTGTGTTGAAGATAAAAATAAATAATACCTGTGTGCTGGTAATGTGGTTCATTGCCTGCTCTGCCCATAGCCTTTTTTCCTAAGGAATAATCTCCTTTCACAGCTGTTGCTTAAAGGACATTGTTCTTCACTCCAACCTCTTGGTTCAGTGAACTGGACCAGGGGAGACTCCTTTTTCAAAGGCAGCCAGTCCTATGTATTTGTGGCTTACACACTTGTAACTCTGTGATTTGGCTGAACAGGATTCTCTATGCTAATCATCTCTCTCTTGGGAAGTGCTACACAGCAGAGGTTTAGCTTTAAAACGGAAGCAGAAAAGGGGAGAGGTGAGGAGGCTTGCAGGAGAGAGAATGGTTGCATGTACTATTGTTGTTACATACCTTTGAGCCCGAACCAACTCATAGCTGAACTTCCAATGGATTTTTTTTTTGAGGCTGTAAAATACCTAGAAGGAGAATACTCATCTTTCTCTAATGAAACGGCTGGTTAATTTGAACTGCATGTTGAATGTAAACATCGTACAAATACTGATGTGAGTTTATGGACATGTGAGTCAACAGAGGAAGATTGGAGAGAGAATGGTATGGATGGACAGAGACATACATGCTGGAGAGGCAGGTAGACAGCCCTTGGAGAGAGTACCTGCCTTCCTCTCTGGGCTTCCCAGCCCCACTTTCTGAGAAGTCTTATCAGGAACTTTGCCTTCTCTTCACCCCTGTGGCTTGAATAGGTTTCTGTTCACTTCATTCAGCTTGGCTAGAAGCGTGGTTTGGCTAGGAAATTGTTTACACCCTAACCAGAGCAAAAGAATTTACGTGAATTAGGGAATAATCTAAGAAAGGAAGTTATGTGATCACTGTGCTTGCTAGTGGGTACTCAGGTTCGATGGGTTACTTGTTCGTTATGCTAGCTGATGTAACTGCTTCACTGAAGAATGATGAGAGGTGAGTACTCATCAGCGCTTTTCCATGTTTAAGGTGCATGTGTATCACTCAGGATCTTGTTAAGGTGTAGATTCCGTTCCAGTGTGTCTGGGGAGAGGTGGAGTTGTTGCATTTCTGACAAACTTCTAGGTTATGATAACATTTTGGCTGATAGATCATACTCTTAGGATTGTTGGTTTTTGTCGTTGTTAGGTGTTCTCATCAAGTTGTCTGTGACTCATGGCAATTTTACAAACTTTGTCCTCTCTTCATGATCTCTGCCACGCTTGAGCCCATTGTAACTGTCACTGTGTAAGTCCGTCTTGTTGAGAGTCTTTCTCATTTTCTCTGATCTTCACCTTTCTCAAAATGATGGATGGCTTCTTCTAAGGTCTGGTCCTTCCTGACAACATGCCCAGAGTACATGAGACACAGTTTCCATATCCTTGCTTCCAAGAAGCATTTTAATTATGCGACCCTATGTACAATAGCAGAATTGACCATTGTTCTGTCTTGCCATTTCTTGTAATCATTGTTGTCTGAGCCTATTTTTGAAATCACTCTGTCAGTCAGTCTCATAGAAGAGCTTCCTCCTGTTTGCCACTCCTCTGCTTTACCTGGCACGATGCCCTTCTCCTTGGACTGGATCCTCCTGCGTTTTGCCGTGTATTCTGATGGTGATGAACATGTCCAAAGTAGAGAGAAGCCACATGAGAAGAACCATTGCTTGTTTCAGGAAATTGGAAACTTGGACGGAGTAGGATATAGATTTAAATGGGTAATGACTGTTAGATTGCAGAGCCTTTTGAATGCCAGGATGAGTCAGTCACTTGGCTATAGAAGTGAGTGTTAGAATGGGGTCTGAGAGTTCATCTGCTCCAATTTATCATGCAAACATGATGCCCATGTATAACATCTCTCACAGGGCAAGTTAGGAGCTAAGTCATTATAGAAGCGTGGCAGTCCAAATGAAGTACCTGAAATGTGTTGGATGATTTATAAGGACTGCCACGGTAGATCAGACTAATTAGGATTAATTAGGTGGCTATGGCAAAAAAAAAAAAAAAGTGGTAAAACTGGGGTTAGGGTTGGAGTGGAGCAGTGAAAATAGGAAAATAAAAAAGAAAAATCTTAGGTTTTGGAATAAGCCATTGATTAATTTAGCAAGCATCTATTGAACATCTGCAAGTGCTCTTTTACTTGATTGGTAGAATAGAAAATTCCTGCCCTCCTGATGCCTCGCATTACAGTAAAGTTAGACAATAAATAAGCCACTTGTATAGTTTTGTTACATGTTAAGTGGTGCAGGAAAAATGAATAAAAGATGAGATAAAATTGTTTGCTAGATCGTAGTTTTAAGTAGGTTGGTTCTAGGAGTATTTGGAAAGTTGGCATGAGGGAGGTAAAGCTTGGCAAGGATCAAAGGGAAAGAATATTCTAGGCAGATGAAAGCTGGAGGAAAAGCCCCAGGCAAAAAGAGACTGGGGTATTAAAATGATTGTCAAGTACCCTGAGGGGAAGAATGGCAGGAAAGGAGGCCAGAGAGGTCACAGCAGCATCATAGGACTTAGTGACAGAATAGATAGGGAAGGGAGAGAGAAATAGGAGATTCCCATCAGATCAATAAATTCTAGCTGTTCCAAAACCCACATAGCAATGCTATTGATTTGAGAATGACCCTCCATTGGGTCATTAAGTATGATGACTGTCCATCTTGCTCTCATAGAGCAGTTGGTGGATTCAAATTGCTAACCTTCCAGTTATCATTGCAGTACTTTGCTCAGTCTGCCACTAGGGCTCAGTTATGTTGTTTTTGTTGAGTGGATTTCCACTCAGAGGGATGCTTAAAAACCACAGATCTGAACCTTTCCCTGGCCCTTCACCATCCATCACTGATAAGCTTGAGCCCATTGTTACAGTCACACTGTAAATCCATCTCCTTGAGGGTCTTCCTCTCTTTCCTTGACCCACACCCCCACCTTTCCCAACATGATGATCCTCCCAAGCCCCCAAGGACTGGTCTCTCCTGAATATGGTCAGTTACAATGCTTAAAAAATCCCGGCTAATCTCACTTAAAATGCTGTTTCCTGGACTCACCCCTTATAGCTCTGAGTTTGGAATCTGCATTTTTAATGGGTAGGTGAGGCACATTTTG